CTCCCCCGCAGAAGTCAGGGACATGGGACCACGCCAGGGAGTGTTTCCCACTCTCGGGAGCAAGCTATCACCACGACGCTCAGCAAAGTGGATGCCTTGTCTATGTTTGAAGATTTCCAGGGAAATAATTCCATGGTGTCCCTTAGCAAATTGTTTCTATTTTTGATATCCATTAGGATGTTAGAACAATCCTCCAGCATGGCAGCTAAGCCTGTTCCCATTCATTTTATTCATCACTGGAGATAGGGAACAGATGGTCACCTTGTTTTTTTTCCTTTTGTTTGTTGTGGCTTTTTTTTTTTTTTTGCATAATCCTGTCTTTACCTGCAGAGTCAAGTAGCTGTTCCTCACTCTCCTCATCTTTAAGCTGAAAACTTGATTTTTAAGTTTTGTTTTGTTTTTTAACTTCCCTTGAATCTTTCCTGTTTAACTATTGTAAATATTTTTATGGGGCCCTCCCTGGTGGCACAGTGGGTTAGGGTGAAGCACTACAAGCTGGCCACAGCCACTTCAGTGTGAGTTCGATCCCCGGCCCTGGAGGTGACCCACATGGCGCAGCAGACCTGTCCTGCCCCGTCTGCTGCTTCCCTCAGCAGTGTGCTTTGCCGATTTGCTTGTTCTGCACCCTGCTCTGTCTCTGCTGACACCACCCCTGCACCTCTGGCTTACACCCCAGTTCTGTATGCATAAATAAATAAATCTTTAAAAAATAAAAAGAAAGAAAATATTTTTATGGCCTTCTCCAGTTTTTTCAAAGTTCTGAACATGGAACTTTATAGAAGGAACATTCTGATTAAGTACATATCAGGAAAGAGACCTAGAACTTAGAAAAATTCTTTTAACATCTCTTGTAAGCTTGGAGATTACTTGTTGTCTCACTGCTTTGTATGCTTATTTTCTCTCTGATTTTCCCACCGAATATCTGCTCTCTCCTGCCAGGGACACTCAGATGCTTCTCTCTGGTTGGCATCTGGACGTATGATTGTGGTTCTCTGCGTCTGAGGCACAGGCTTAAAGTTTATCTCTGGAAGAGAGAGCCAGGAAGCGAGAAAATAGGTTTCTTGGCATCCTCACAGTTAGGCTTAAGCTCTGACCTACCAATATAGCAAAGCAGATACATTTCAAACCTATTATGCTAACTTAAAGGAATCAGACACAGTGTCTGTACCAGATTATTTTATTTGAGTGAAATTCTAAAAGTAGTGAAATACAGGGATGGAACTATTACATAGGGTATGGTTCTTTAAGAAAAAAAAAAAAAGCACAACTAATTCCACTTACCTGCCCTCCTGTGTTTCATAGCAAAGGGCCTGAACTGTCCGAAAGATGTTTAGCACATGCAGGAACAATAAAAAATCTGGAATAGTCACTCACCAAATAACATGGATGATTAAGTTGAATCTTTACTGTTTGGGGCCAGAAAGATGCGATCAGGACATACTGAGACATTTTGCTTGCGTGACCCCAAATTGGCCTCTGAGCAGACATCCGCGTGTCTAGTTCCAAAGATGGTGCCCTTCCTCGCTGGATCATTGGAATAAACACAAGCTCTTGAGTTTAATACATTGAAGGACACAAATGTTTTGAGAGTTTTCCTTTTTTTTTAAGAAGAGGGAAATTCAGTTTACTTTTCCCTCTCAATCATTGTTTTCCTAAATGGTCACTTTGAACACTCTTGGTAACAAGCGATAATGCCTGCTTTAGTTTTCAGATAAAGAACCCAGGTCAGTAATCTAGGGAACCAGCCTAGGAGCTGCAAAACCCCCCTAAATATTAACTCCACACGGCCAGCACCTCCACAAGCCAGAACCCCAAAGAGGATGAGGAAGGATTTTTCCAGTAAGCGGTGCTGTCTGTAATTGACAGGCGCCATCTTAGAAACAAGTGAATTCCCCCCGGTTCTAGTTGGCAACTGCAGGTTTCATTGGCAGGAAACAGGAGGGAAATTTGGAGCATTTGATGAGGTGTTAGGTGACGTGTGCTGGAGCCAGGCCCCCCAGATGGGCCTGGGCTGGGAGTGGGAGACGGCCTTGCCTTGGAGCTGTGTGAGATGATAAGCCTCGTGATCTGTGTCCATCTGAGCCCGGGCTCGAGGATGGAGCCCCTCGTATGTCGGGGCACCTGCAGGCAGGTGTGGGGTGCGTCCTGCATGGGCGGAACCCAGCTGCAGTGCTTTGGCAGTTAAATGAATGTGCACATTTCTGTTTGCTCAGTGACACCTAGACCCTTCCCCTGACTCGCTCAGTTTTCTGAAAAACAATGGACGAATTTCATTCCCCCTGATGTTTGGTTTAATTGAACTTGTTAGATCTTAAAAGTCCGGGCACATGCCTTGGGATAAATGCTGAACCACCTGATTGTTTTTTCCAGAATCACCTTAGAGCTTGGGAGAATATATTTAGGACTTCAAAGATCTGACGTCCTTTTCCAAATAGCCTGGCAGGAGAGGAGAAAGCCCCAGATGGTGGAGTTTGGCAGTCCCTGGACCGCTGTGCTCAGGACGCCATCTTGAAAATAGATGAAGATTTATTTCCTCACGAAACTGGGAAAGCGAAACTTATGTTTTGGAACGAAGTGCATTCATTGGAGGCCTCCCGCCTCACAAGTTGAGAGAAAATGAACAGATTCTGCTCACTTATATTAATCCCCCCCCGCCCCATAGTTCTTCCACTTAAGTTGTTCAGCAGATATCTGAGGAGCATCACTCTGCCTTATGCCCGGAGTGGCGCCTCACACACGCACGCAAGCAAGACACCAGTCTTCCCTGGAGATAATGAGAAATGTTCTTGGGACAGACAAGATGGAAATGTAAGCAACTGAGAGTGTCCAAAGCTGGCCAGCTGAATGGGTCCGGAAATGGGGCAGCAGGGGTCAGAGGCAAGGAGGGTATTCTATTTGAGTTGTTGAAGGGAAGAGTGGTCCGTAGGAGCCAGGCATGAGGCCCCGGGAAAGGGACAAGCCTGTCCTCCTTGACAGAAACACCAAGGAGACTGAAAGGCAATTATTTTAGTGATTAGGACATTGCTGTTGACCTTCAAGAGCGGGAGTTTCAGGACAGGATGGGACTGAGAGCCAGAGAGTAGCGACTTACAAAGCAGATATACTTGAGAAAATGGAGAACTTGTTGCTGATTGGAGATGTTTGATCGTGAAGAGAGAAGTAACACCGCGCTCATGAGAACTGTTTTCTCTCAGAAAGGGAAAATGGCTATTTGGAAGGTAGAAGATAGTAGGTGATTGAAGGGGACAGGCTAAATATATCTGCAATAAATCCTAAGGTCCTTGAGAGAATCATGTTAACAAAGGAGGGAAAAAGATAAGTGATCATATTTTTACCGGAAAATGAAGGGGCATAAAGTCTACTTTTGCACTCTATGTAAAAATGTTACATTAAGAAACTCAGTCATCATCAGTGATTAGTAATTCAAGTAAGAAATGGGGAAGCAGGAAAGATGGAATAGCCCCGTTTTTACAGTCCTGTTCTTGAAAGACGATGGCTGCAGCGAATGCCGCACCCGAATGGGATTATCCCGTCCCCTTGATGGCACAGCAAGGAGCGTAGACTGCAGGGGAACGTCTTTTCTGGACCTCACCTCTGCCTCTGAGTCTGGCCGACTCACTCCCCTCACGTGTGGGGGGCTCACCCGGTGCCGTGTTACATCACTGAGGGTTGAACACGGCTGGGAAGCAGGGAGAGGCAGTGGCATGAAAGATTCCCATGAAGCTCGCCTACGCCAGGTGTGCTCGGCACTGCAGGCTTGGTCACTCAGGAGCAAGTGCAGGTCCAGCCCCACGTGATGACAAGCGCTAGTCAGTTTCACGGGAGAGAGGAGCCTGCGTGCTGGGCTAGCTAGGCACAGCTAACCGCCTAGTGTGCCCTCAGTGAAGCCACCTCTGCTGTCCGGGAGCCTTTCAGATCGATGCGTCCTTCCGAGGACTCTCTCCACAAAGGCCCTGACAGCTGTCACTCTTGTTCTGCTCAGACACAGGTGTGTTTGCAGTGGTGAACAGCCACTCCCTATCTCTGCTGGGGAAGCTGACCATCAGCGCCGCCTTCAACGTAGTGTATATTTACACGTCTGAGCTGTACCCCACCGTCATCAGGTGAGCCTCACACAGCTGCCCTCTCCCCACACACACACACCTGCACCTGCACAGGTACGGTTTTTACTTCACCTAGATCAGAGTTGGGGGCAGCAGGCAGCTGTGAGCTGTGAAACTGTGGGCTGATCGGTTGAAGAAAAGAGTGTTTTCTCTTGGGCTGAATTTCCTCATGCAAGTCGTGGGAGCTGCTCCACACTGAACAGCCCCTCACCCACGGACTGCGAAGGTGTCTTCTTGTACATCCATGGGCTTCATTGATACTCCCATCCTGTGACAGCGCATGACGGATATGCACAGGTCCCTGTTGTCAAAGAAGCCACATTTAGCATAAGACATACACATTCTAAAAAGATAATCCATGTAGCAGTGACTGAATGTTAGATTCACATGTTAGTTGTTAAGGGTGTTTTTGAGGAGTGGGACATACTTATGTGGGAAAGAACAGATTCCATCCTGAGTTGCCCTTCACAAACATCTGAACACAGAAGACAGAGTCAGACGTGAGGGGAGAAGAGTCTCTGCGAGGCGGCCTCACCCCTCAGTCAGCGCTGCCCATAGGGGCCTCTGCTTCGCTTATCCAGGCGAACTTCAGGAATCTTTCTGTCTCTTGGTGTAAAGTTCCCTCTGCTCAAATTTTTGCAGATTATCTGTAGTGTCCAGTTATTTCCTTATTGTTCCTATAACTCACTTTCCCCAGCCGCTGGCTATAACCATTTAGTCAAACTGGGCCCGGTGGAATGCGGGTGTTGTTAACAGTCGGGGGTAACAGGATGATAGCACCCTAACTCTCACCCACCTCTTCTGTAGCCATGCTCCCCAGGAAAGCAGTGTTCTTGGTTCCTTGAATCCATATGTTCAGTCTATTCCTACTTATAGGCTTTAAGGGTTATCCTTTTATATATATATATATATATCCTCCTTTGTATCCTTTAAAAGTTAATTAGTTGAGTTTCAATAAACGGGCAGTCTTTTCAGATCCCTGGGAAGTCCTGGCTCTCCATGGCCATATTGATAGGAGACCTAAGACACAGCAGCTTATAACAGCCTCATAGGAAAAATTATGACGAAAAAAGAACACTTGACAAGAGATACTCACATGCTCATGTCTGCACCCACCTCTATAGCGGTCCAGCGTGGTACTTACTGGGAATGTTCTAGGCCTTACTTTTTTTTTTTTTTTAAGATTTATTCATTTATTTTTGGGGGTACAGACCAGAGGAACAGGGGTGGTACGAGGCTTCACCAGAGACAGAGTGGGCAGCAGAACAGGCAGATCCACGAATCCACTGCGGAGGGGAGCAGTGGTGGGTCGGGAGAAGTCTGCTGCGCCCTGTGGGTCACCTCCGGGGCTGGGGCTCGAGCTCGCGCTGAAGTGGCTGCAGCTCGCTTGTAGTGCTGTGCTTTAACACGTTGCGCCACGAGGAAGGGCCCAAACTTACTGACTTTTTAAACCTTTTCTATGCCTTTCAGGAACGTGGGCCTTGGAGCGTGCTCCATGTTCTCACGAGTCGGCGGGATCATCGCTCCCTTCATCCCCTCACTGGTTGGTTTGTATCCTGCTCTGCCTTCTTGACGCTCCGAGCAGGCAGGGCGTGTGCTTGAGTAGACGGGGCTAGTGGGCAGGCGCCACGCAAGACCCCCGACCCTGGCGCGAGCCTGTGGCTTTGGATGGAGGCTGGGTCCCGGCGGGGAGATCCTTGCAAGGGTGCTTCTACCCCCGGCTGCATTTTCGCTTTGATGTATCCATGGGGCTGTTAGCTGATGCCTGCTGGCCCCTCCCTGCCCACGCTCATGACCCGTCCGCCAGTGAATCTTTCATCAGCTCCTCTGGGTGCCGGGCTCTGGGCTGAACACGTCTTGGAGCACACACACCCCACATAGCCACATGAGGGAGGCTTGCTGTTGCCTGAGTTCATCTTGAACAGGCAGCAGAAAGGTAGTGAGTCGGGATGTTCAGCAGCAGAAAGACCCCTTCCCGGCGCGCCACGTGGGGAGGAAGCCAGAGGAGGAGGCAGTGGGGTGTGCCAGTTGCTGGTTTCTGTCGTTTTATAAATCGCTTAGTTAAAAGGCAGGGGGTGGGCTAAACGACAGCTCTGAAGTCCATCTGGTTCTGGGCTGCGGGGCCTGAGAAAGAGCCCGGGGCCTGTCCTGCCCAGCCTGACTAGGGCCTTCGCTCCCTGCTCACAGGGGCGCGGCTGGGCTGGGCGCGGGGCTGGTGGGGGCTCCGCTCCCAGCAGGTGACTGCAGCCC